GCCCCATCCTTGTTATATTGCCTTTCATCTGAGAACCTTTCCAAACATTGTCTTCTGCCTCTGTATTTTTTAAGAAATAAAACCGTAATGTAAGAACATGGAGGGTTATGAAGCATGAAGTTCCATAAATATTTATGCCAAACCTCACAAGTAGACAGTTTCTATTTTCTTGACATATTGGGGTCATGCTTCATTCTTGACCCCTTGAATTGAAAAATACAAGGAGGTAGTGTACCCTTTTCTTTCCTCTATCTCTCTCTCTTTTCATTTCTGTAATGAGTTTTAGATGCCGGGTGCTGTCCTGATAGGTCCATGCAAGTTCCAGTGAGCTTTGTGTTCTAGTGTCTAAGTCTAGATTTAGAAATTTACACTTGTATCCAAAATAACATGGCTTATACCAAGTGTTAGACTTTAGTGGTAAACTGCTCAGTTCTTGGGTGTTTATGACCAGTTAACTAAAAATAAAGGTGGCTTTTATAAAGGCTGTAGGAACCCTGCTTGTGTAGTGCTTCCCATCCTCCTGGTGGGCACCTGGAAACCACCAGCAGCTCCGAGGGAGAAAGACGGCTTTCTCCTCCCCTAAGCAGTTACAGTCTCAGAAACCCACAGAGGGGTCACTGTGAGTCAGCACCGGCTTGGTGGCAGTGAGTTTTTGAGGTTTGTGAAGGCTAATGAATAACTTTTCATCTGTAGACATATTTTAGATGACTCTCTTCATTTTCTTTTACCCCTCACTAAAAACCCTTGCTCCATCCCACAGTGTGTTCAGATATAGCTTGTGACAGTAATATAAAAATGGAAAGTAAATGCCTAGAAAAGAATGAGGGCTACATAAGTACAAGCATGCCTAATTCAATTGATATATGGACTGTGATAAGGGTTGTAGGAGCCCCCAATATAAATATATATATTTATATATATAAATAAAATGAATCATTAAAAAATGGAGGGAGAACAGTGTAGAAATAGTCTTGTTATGTGGGAGCATTTTAAAGTGAAGTCAGTCTCCATTTAAATCCCAAACTGAAAAGCACTGCCCTTGAGCTGATTCTGACTCACTGCAACCCCGTGTAGGCTTTCTGAAGACTAATTTTCACTGCACCAGGTCACCGTAATCTGGCAATGGTAAGCTAGCAATCTGTGCTTATCAGTCTTATCACCTACCCCCAATGCCTAGGTTGTTACAAACTTGCAATATTAAATGTAAGGGCCACAAGCACTATAAAGAAAATACCTTAAAAATAGACACAGCTAGCCACTCGTTGTTCATTCCCTCCTGTAGTTAGCCCTGCTATAGACGGTCTGGTGGAGATGTGGGGAACGACAACCTGGACTGGGGCAGTGCAGGCAAAAGAAGGGCCACACAGAAGAAGCGTAGGCATGTAGCAGGGCCATCCATTGCTTAGATTGGCTCCTTCTGCCTGTTGTTAACTACTTTCCCTTATCCTGCGGGCAAATATTTAACATTTCCATAAAAAAGATACACTCTCACCAAACAACCAATCAGCCAACCAAACAACAGAATCAACTGTCTTGGTTGAACCAGTGAACTATGGCCATCTTTGATCGTGAACCCATCTCTCCTCACTTACTTTAGAGCCCCCATCATTGTAGCTTATACTCTTGCTCAATCTCTGTCACTGGCCTCCCACTCCACTCATCCCTTGAGACAGTCTGATGAGCTCCATGAACCCCTGTATGCACACTGTTACACTCTTGACCTTTCACCCTGCGAAGCTCTGCTTGGGACTCCGGCTCCTTTGGGTATCAGTAGAGTTCTTGGTTGCTTGCAGCAGGGATGGGTTATTCTTTTTTTGAAGATTGAAAAACAAGGCTAAGTTCCCTTCTCCTCCTTCCTTACCAATGGACTGATTTGGTTTGGGGAACAGTGTCAGTTTCCCTGACAAGGAGTGCCAGGTGACACAATACTGGCTGTCACGAGTAAGGGGCTGTCTGCTGAGAGGCATTTGGACAAATCCTGTTTTCTAATAGAAACAGAGGAAGCCTGCTCTTTTTACCTGGGGCCCAGTTGTGTGATGACAAGCTGCTGGTAGACAGGAGTCAGATTGTCCTCAGGAAGCAGCAAGCCTAAGGATGAAAAGCCGATAAACAAAGTTGAGGAGAGGAGAATGATAAAAAGAATAGGTGCTATTTCACGTAGTTGAGATCCTGCCAACTGCCCAACGGCCCACTGAGGGACATCCTCACAGTGGTTTTGACTGTCTCAGTCACTGTTCAGTGTTCTGGTGCTTGTTTCAAAAGAAGTTACTTGCTTTTGTTACTAATTTAGAATGGTATTTTGTGGCTATTACAGTGCTTAGAAGATGAAAAACTGAGGCACGGGAACCGAGCGAGAAGGAGATCAGGGGAAATACATCTTCGCTACAGTTTGGCCTCCTGACCCCCTCACCACTGGATGTTTGTGCAGTGACTGGTCCACTCTCCCAGTAGCCCTAGAATACTCAGCTCATTCTCTACCGTCAAGTTGATTCCAACTCACTGTGACTTACAGGACAGGGTAGAACTGCCTTTCTGAGACTGTAACCCTCATGGGAGGAGATAGCTTCATCTTTCTCCCATAAAGTGGCTGGTTGTTTTGAACCAAGTCATGGTTAGCAGACCAGTATAGCCCACTCTGGCTCCTAACCCATGGCGCAATAGAAATGGAATATAGGATGCACACGTCGATGTAAATTGTAGCCACATTAAAAAACAAAAACAGCCGGACTGAATTTTAGCAACATATTTTATTAAATCAAATATACCCCATATGTTCATGTTTTTTGATGTAATCAGTTTAAAATAATACCAAAGAAGACCTGTGCGTTATTTTTCATATTGGGTCTTGGAAATCCATCTTGTTTTCTAGCCGTGTATTTATTTCTTGGCTGGATGTGGCCACTTCCATGCCCTGCATCTCCAGCTCAGCATTTCCCACCTTGACCTTAATCATTTTCCCTCCACAACTGCTGTTCTTGTCTGACAAGTCCATATGCCCACCACCTAATGAGAAACACAGGTGTGTCTTACTCTCCTTTCACTCGTGACTTCCTGTCAGCCACCAGACCCTCCTTTTCCCTTTCCTGCAGACCTTTCCTCAAGATGACATGATGGTTAAGTGCTTTGCTGCCAACTGAAAGGCTGGAGGTTTGAACTCAACCTGTGGCTCTGCTGGAAAAAACCCGATGGCCCGCTTCCACATCTCCTGTACTGACTACAGCCAAGAAAACCCGCAGGGCAGAGCCGTTCTCTCACTTGCCTTGCCTTGAGTTAAAACAACAGGAATCTTTGACTGTGTGAATTTTCAGTCATTCTTTAGGGAACTGCCACCGAAATTCCATAACCAGTCTTCTGCTCCTTGGGGCCCTTCTTGTCCTTCCCTCCTCCCCAATTCCCAGTTACTGTTGTACTACATACAGTTGGCATGATGGATCTAAAGCCCGAGTTGTCATTCCCCTGGTTACATTTTTTTCAGCCATCCTCTAGCCTATGAGAATAGATGTTGAAGTCTTGATGGTGTGGTGAGGTTAAGAGTTGGGCTGTTGACCACAGGTTAGCAGTTTGAATACACTAGCCGATCTTCAGGAGAAAGATGAGCCTTTCTACTCCCATAAAGTGTTAGAATCTCGGAAACCCATGGGGGCAGTTCTCCCCAGTCCTGCAGGTTTGCTATGAGTTGGAATTGACTTGATGGCAGTGAATTTTGAATTTGGTTAGCGTAGCTTAGAGGGCTGCCTTTTCAGGTCAGTCTTGAAGGCTGAGGGGAGAGAAAGTTTGGCCCAAGTGCAGACATCTTTTTTTTTTCTTTTCACTTTGTGATTTAAAAAAAAAATCATTTTATTAGGGGCTCATACAACTCTTATCACATTCCATACATACATCAATTGTGTAAAGCGCCTTTGTACATTCATTACCCTCATCATTCTCAAAATATTTCCTCTCCACTTAAGCCCCCGTCCACTTAAGCCCATCCTCAGTTTTCCCCTCCCTCATGAGCCCTTGATAATTTATAAATTGTTATTTTGTCATACCTTGCCCTATCTGACGTCTCCCTTCACCCACTTTTCTGTTGTCCGTCCCCCAGGGAGGAGGTCACATATAGATCCTTGTAATCGGTTCCCTCTTTCCAACCCACTCTCCCTCTACCCTCCCAGCATCACCACTCACACCACTGGTCCTGAAGGGATCATCCGCCCTGGATTCCCTGTATTTCCAGTTCCTATCTGTACCAGTGTACATCCTCTGGTCTAGCCAGACTTGCAAGGTAGAATTCATGTCATGATAGTGGGAGCGTGGAGGAAACATTTAGGGACTAGAGGAAAGTTGTATTTTTCATCGTTGCTACATCGCACCCTGACTGGCTCATCTCCTCCCCGAGACCCCTCTGCAAGGGGATCTCTAGTGGCCTACTAATGGGCTTTGGGTCTCCACTCCGCACTCCCTCCATCATTCACTATGGTAAGATTTTTTGTTCTGATGATGCCTTATATCTGATCCCTTCGACACTTCGTTAGCGCACAGGCTGGTGTACTTCTTCCATGTGGGCTTTGTGGCTTCTGAGCTTGATGGCCATCTGATTACCCTCAAGCCTTTAAGACCCCAGACGCTATATTTTTTTGATAGCCAGGCACCATCAGCTTTCTTCGCCACATTTGCTTATGCACCCATTTGTCTTCAGTGATCCATTTGACACCTCATGATCACACAGGCTGATATGTTGTTCCATGTGGGCTTTGTTGCTTCTGAGCTAGATGGCCGCTTGTTTACCTTCAAGCTTTTAAGACCCCAGACGCTATATCTTTTAATAGCCGGGCACCATCAGCTTTCTGCATACACTATGTGTCCATTAAGCATGCAAGTACTTTGGAGTAAAAAAAAAATCAACTATTGAAATCGTGCACTAAGTGCAAACGTTATGCTTTTTTAAAAAGTCTGATTCTTATTGAAACTCAAAATTTATAGCTTATGTTTCTTAATTAGGATGCAATTTTGTATTGCAGGTTGCCTGCCTGATTCGAGTCCCTGTTGAAGTAGTTAAGCAGAGGGCACAGGTATCTGCTTCATCAAGGACATTTCACATTTTTACTAATATCTTGTATCAAGAGGTAATATATATTTTTAAAATGTTTTTTAAACTCTTTATTTTGAGAAATATTTTATTGTAGACTGATATTCTGAACTTTGTGGGTCTCATCTCAGAAGCCCAGGATAGTTAGTTTTTTAAAATGTCTAGTTATAATTTTTATGCTGTGGTCTTTCCTTTTTATGCTTTTGAATATTATTTTCATTTGGTATCTAATTTCTCTACACACATATCTTGAGTGCCACTACTGTTCTACACTGTAACCTGTCTGTAGCTCTTTTGGAATTGGACTGGAGTAAATAGTAAATATCTAAAAAGTGAAGATACTATATTAAAACATCCCAGCAGAATTCGAGGACACATGAGAAAGAAGTATACTAATAGAGTGATATTAGTCGCTGGGGTCCTATGTTTATATCAGATGTAATTTTTTTAACTTATTAGTATTAAGCTGTGGGTCAAAAATCCTTTTTGCAAACTTGGTGTAAATGACCAAATAATAATAATGCGCTTTATCATGTGAGTAGGGTGCATGTAGGCACCTTGCTGGTGCCACAGTTCAGCCCTCAGCTGCTAGCAGAGGCTATGCCTCACCTGTGGCTCCATGGGAGCAGGACTTGGCTATCTCCGATCTTCGCAGGCGCAGGTCACCAGCTTTTTCCCTCCAGTGTAGCCCCTGAGCAGTTGGCACTGCGCACACTTTGGTCAGCTGCCAAATCGTTCACCTTTGTGTCAGCAGGGATTCTTTCATAAAGGCACACACCCGGGAAAACCTCTGGGGCAGGTCTGCTCGGTCACATGGGGTCACACTCAGTTGAAATCGACTCCAGCGCACCCAGCGCCAGGAGGGAGCATTTAGCTCCCTCACCGCTCTTACAGAAGCCTACAGAAATGATTGCTCTCTGTTTTTACAGAAGCCTGTTTTCCCAAAGAAAATCAATCTCGTGGGAATTTCAGTGAGTCTAGAAAGTTACTCTGAGTGGATGGCCTCTGTCCCCCAGGCAAAGAGACCCCGAGTTGTCGTGTGAGTGAGCTTAGTCCAGGTGTGGGGCCATGCTGTGCCATGTGGACAGTGGGTACTTCTATCAGACTTTGTGCAGCAGTGTACCTTATCAGTATGCTGAGAGGTCATTAACGAGCTTCTAATGTTCTTTGATCAAAACTGTGGATGATCATTTTACTTCTTTATGCTGGGATAGTCGGCCTGCTGTATGTGCTTGCTTTGGGAAATACGTGGATATATCTTCAAAGCACCTCAAGGATTCATTTCGAGAGAAGAAATGTGGACCAGCGTGTCTAAGCTAAAGCTAGAGTAATACATAGTTTTATTGCTAGACACGTTCCCATTTTAAAGAGAGCCGATTGGAACTTTGTATACCACAGCCCAGTATAGCATCTTTAACCTCCGAGAGAATTGCTGTACTTTTGAACGTTTTAAAACTCGGCGTTTAGGGCAGGTAGAACTGCTTTATGCAGAACATCATTCAGAAATCTTCTTTGCTCTGACAACTTTTGAGCCCTTGGTTTTCCTTTGTTTCAGGGCATCCCGGGACTGTATCGAGGCTACGCAAGCACGGTGTTAAGAGAGGTAACTCACTCAGTGTCCAGTATCGAAGTGCAAAAGAATGGCGCCTTTGTTTAGTAAGGTGTATATTCTGAAAAAAAGTAGACGAAATGATCACTTAAAAGAAATTCTGTTTAGTCTTATCTTGTATCATCTCAAACCGGTGGGGGACTTTTTTTTTCTGCCAAGGGCCATTTGGTTATTTATGACATCACTCACTGGCCATACTGGTTAAATATGTAATTAACTCACCCCTGATGCGATGGCTTGTTGGGAGAAAGATGAAGCCAGTCCTGTAAAGAGTTACAGTCTTGGGAAATGGCCCCATTGGCAGTGAGTACAGTAATGTGATGGCTAGAACTACTTCTCTGTGGTGAGATGTGTGATATTAGCTTGTATCAGTGATTTCTCAAGCCCTGTATGGCCCATGGGTCAGGTGGTCCCCACCCCTGTTCGAAAACATTGGAAGGCATGTGTTTGCTGGAAAGCAGTTGCTGCAGTAAGAGTGGCTCATCCTAGAGTTGAATTGTTGAGCTAGGGTGGCGAAGTGTTGGTGTTATCGTTGAAATACTCAGAAAGGATCTGGTGGTAGTGGGTTTGATTCTTTATTTTTATTAATCATTTTACTGGGGGGGCTCTTACAGATCGTACAACAATCCATCATTCAATTGTATTAAGCACACTTGTACATATGTTGCCATTATCATTTCCAAAACATTTTTTTTCTTTCTACTTGAACCTTTGGCATCAGCTTCTTTTTTCCCTCCTTCCTCCACCCTCCCACTCATGTGACTCCTTGATTAATTATATATTAATATTGCTATTTCAGATCTTACACCGTCCATTATCTCCCTCACCCACATTTCTATTATTTGTCCCCCTTGGTGGTGGTGGGGGGTATTATATATCCAACCTGTGATCATTTCCCCCTTTTTCTCCATCTCGCCCCCCACCCCTCTCCTCCCTCTATCCTTATAGTATCACTACTCCCACTACTGTTTCTGAGGGGGTTATCTGCCCTGGATTCCATGTGTCGAGAGCTCTTATCTGAAACAATGTATATAACTGTGGCCTAGCCGGATTTGTAAGGTAGAACTGGGTCATGATAGTGGGGTGAAGGAAGTATTCAAGAACTAGAAGAATGCTGTATATTCCATTGGTGCTATACTGCACCCTGGTTGTGTTATTAGGTTTTGTTTTGGGTTTACTATGAGTAAAATATCATGTTACATATGCAAAATTAATAAGAATTAAAGCACACTAATGGTCATGTGTGGTAGTTACATAATTTCCTGTTAACTTGTGAAGGGGTGGAGTCTAGTCTGTCAATCAGGTCATAGCCAATGAGGCCTATGCATGGGCATGGCCTTCTTCAGAGGATTGTGGGAACTCCTGTCTTCCTCCTGGGAGGTGGGACATATGCACTCTCTGCTTCATCTTCCTGCCGAGAAGACACATGGAGCTGCGCTGATAGAGCCAGAGCCCTGGAGCTGGAAGAACCACATGGAGACCCATGACAGCACTGAGATTCTTCTACCGTGACTACATCCACAAGACTTTCCACGCACTCACTTGTGATCTTCCTGCATTCAGCATCATTGCATGTTTTGTGTGAGTCTGAAGAGGAAATTATAGATAAGTATCGGACGTATGGGCTAATATCGGACTTAGGGACTTGATCTGGACTGGGCTGGAGTGTTTTTTTAATATTCAATTGCTTTTTGATATAAAGCTCTTTCTTATGCACCTATGAGCGACTCTGGATTTGTTTCTCTATTCAACCCAGACTAACACAACAGGTGTCTCAAAAGTCTGTGTAGCTATGCTGGCAAGGAAGCCAACTGTGGCAGTTGCATAATCTGGTATCAACTTGAGACTATTAAGAGTGAAGGGGTAGAGTTTAGCCTGTCAATCAGGTCGCAGCGTGATGACCTCATTTGGAGATGCTACAGAGAGAATTAGCTCACTGGAGGTCAGATACACTCTCTGTCTGCTTTGTCTCCCTGTGAGACATTGCTGTTGACAAGCCACATGGAGCTATGCTGATGGCACCCAGAGCCTTGGAGCTGGAGGTGCCACGTTGGAGACCCACACCAACACTAAGATGCTTCCACTGCCACTGGATCCACAAGACTTTCCACCCTCTGACCTGTGATCTTGCACTTGGCATCATTGCATGTGTAGTGTGAGTCTAAAGAATTTATGGACTAGTTAGTATAAGACATATTGGCTTATGGACTTGATCTGGACCAGGCTGGAATGTTTTCTTAATAAATAATTAGTCTTTGATATAAAGCTCTTATACATATTAGTCTCCCTGGATTTTTTTCTGTAGTCTACCTGAGCTAACACACCAATCAGATGTCAAGAGCTGGGAGTTTAGACTGGAGTGGAGTCGTGACTCTGCATTGCAAGCCACCCACCTCTCTGTGCCTTCCAGTTCTGTTTGAGAAGCCACTCACTGCCATTGAGTGGATTCTGACCCGGAGTGACCCTGTAGAACAGAGTAGAACTGCCCCTGTGCGTTTCCAGGACTTGGGTTTTTGAAATTTTAAATCTTTGCAGGAGCAAGTAAGCCTCATTTTTCTCTTCCAAACTGGCTGCTACATTTGCCTCCACCTTGCAACTAGCTGCCCAATGCTTAGCCCACAGCGCCACCGGAGTATCTAATGATTGAGAAAGCAAAACTAGACCATCAGTGTGTGGCATATTGCTGCAGGAAGTGCATTTGCCTCTTTCAGAAGAGACTATTTGAATTTACAGAGTTGGCCTTGGTTTGGAATTTAATATTCTAACAAAGAAGGAAGCACAAGTAGGAACCTACAGATGTCTACTCTGCGTCTTTGTTCTATATTTGGAGTTCTTTTAATACTGAGCCATTTTCATCTGCTAAATGTTTTTAAATTTAAATAAGTATTCTCATAATTAGCTAAACACAAGCTGTCCACAGGTTACAACTGAGATCTCCTAATTTTTTTTTTTATTTTTAGAATTTGCAGATCAGTTGTAACAAGTACATATGGGTCTTGTTTTGCCTTACATCAGTGCAAGAAATAGCTGGAAGCAAGTGATTGCGATCAAGTGTTAACCAACACAAGCTGGGTTGGTTCAGGGTTCAGAATGAGGGCAAGTAGACCTAGCATTCAAGGGCCAGCGTGAGTTGCGATGTTGGGAAACACTAATTTAGGATCAACTGCCTGCATTGAAAATGTTGTGAAATCCCTCAGTTTATCCCCAAGTAGGCTTTGTGTTTGTTTTTAGCTCTAGGTGACAGTCTTCTTCTGGTAACACTTCCATATTACATATTATTTGAAGCTCTTGATTTCTACATAGTAGCACAGCCTTTAGTGTGGGGTGGGGGGTGAGGGGGTGTAGCAGGGCTAATGTGGATCTTGGGTAAACTTCTGAAGGCAAACTGAATGTTTCAAAAGTAGCTATTGGTATGCAGATGACTTCTGCCTTTCAAGAATATCACCCAGACTATCGCACCATCTTCTACTGATTTTCTGACTCACTAAACATATGTTATTTGCTCAGTTTTTTCCTGTACGCAGGAAAAAGTGGGGTGGGAGGGGACAAGAAACCTTTATGGTTTTTCTGAGCGATGCGGAATAAATGAATACATTTACAGCTATAGAATATTGGTTTTCATACAAACAAATCGTTGAAACTTGTGGTTACAACTGCATTCTGTTCTTAAAAAATTTGTTTTGACATATGTCAGGCTAGTAATTAATTTCTAGGCTGCATTCCTGGCAAATAGTGTCACCCTGCTGAGATGACTTTGTTTACTCAAAATGGCAGTGCTTTGTTGGAAATTTAATTGGGGTCTTCTGTATTATGCGTATTCATAAAAGATCCTTCAGAACTGATTTTACCTGAAATATTGCTTTTGTAGAAATTCTCTGATAGAATGCAGGAAGAATTATTGCTGAATGAAACGTAGCTTCTTTTCAAAATGAGAAAAATACGAAGTGATAGGTCTGCTTTAAACAAAATTTTTGCTTTATAAATAGTTTCGATTCTTACATTTCTCTGACACTAATATCAAATCTTTTTGCAGAGTGCTTGTTTGATTGTTTCAATAAGGAAGTACATTGAAGCCTGAGGGAGAATCACCAGGAAACTTACACATTTATTCTGTGTGCAGTTTCCCCCTTAAATTGTCATATCTCCATGGCAGTTGTCCATTAGAATGAGATTGAAATGTGAATCCATGCCTTGTAAGATAGATTACACGACTTCTTTAGATTTTGTGGATACTGCCACATTTTCTTAAAACAGAATTTGATGTCAATGGAGAGTGCAACATTTACCCCTTATGTTCTCCTAAATGATTTTGGCTACTGTGAATTTTTGACTGAGTGTAAGCAAGGACAGCAAATTATACTGTTGACTTCATCCTTTCAAGATTAATCTTCCTTGTGAGCCTGGCCAATTGAGAGGGGGCCACGTCTTAGGGACAGTGTGGGCCAGGTCTCGAGTGGGAAGCAAAGCCACAGATGTTTTGAAAGGACCCATTGGTCTAAAGTGGGCCACTCACACTCTTCTGATGTTCTGGTTGGGAAACCAAAAGAGGACTAGGTAGGTGCTTTACACAGCACTTAATAAATGCTGTACTGAAAACTACGTATACAAGATGCAGCTGTGATCTAGGAGCAAGGCTTGAGTTATACTCATTTCCTGTTTCTTAAATTAATGGAAATGAGTCCTGACTTGAGCTTTGAAGAATTACAATTCAGAAGTAGTCAAATAAGACAACGGGAACAGCAGGAACAAAGGCATTGGGTGTGGGAGAGCATGTGTGCCCCTCATTTGTCTCCACAGACTTGGGGTTGCCACACTCATAGAAGAAATGATTTCCCTTGACTGCAGCCCAAGGGAAGGGGCTTCAAGAAGTCCCTCAGAAAGTGGCGTGATTGCCAGGGGAAGTTGGTCATCTCATCCAGGTGGATGTTTGTTGAACTGTAGAAATCCAGGGTTCAGGCAGTGCCAGAGGCCAGCAGTGGAGGGCCCTGGAAAAG